GTGGTTGATGGTGGTGGTGGTTAGGGGGGTTGTGGTTGATGGGGTGGTGGTTTAGGGGGTTGTGGTTGATGGGGTGGTTGTTTTGGGGGTTGTGGTTGATGGGGTGGTGGTTTAGAGGGTTGTGGTTGATGGTGGTGGTGGTTAGGGGGGTTGTGGTTGATGGGGTGGTGGTTTAGGGGGTTGTGGTTGATGGGGTGGTGGTTTAGGGGGTTGTGGTTGATGGGGTGGTGGTTTAGGGGGTTGTGGTTGATGGGGTGGTGGTTTAGGGGGTTGTGGTTGATGGGGTGGTGGTTTAGGGGGGTTGTGGTTGATGGGGTGGTGGTTTAGGGGGTTGTGGTTGATGGGGTGGTGGTTTAGGGGGTTGTGGTTGATGGGGTGGTGGTTTAGGGGGGTTGTGGTTGATGGGGTGGTGGTTTAGGGGGTTGTGGTTGATGGGGTGGTGGTTTAGGGGGGTTGTGGTTGATGGGGTGGTGGTTTAGGGGGTTGTGGTTGATGGGGTGGTGGTTTAGGGGGGTTGTGGTTGATGGGGTGGTGGTTTAGGGGGTTGTGGTTGATGGGGTGGTGGTGTTATGTCTGTTTTGGTATTGCTGTGGAAATGAGAGAATGGGGGTAGTTGGGGGGGGGGGTTTAGTGGTAGTTCTAGTGAGGGAACGTAATAACCATTCTTAGGGGGGTGGGAGGGGGGGGGGAGGAAGGGTTTAGTGCCCCGTAAATGTCAACATTGACGGCGTAAATCAGCCTTGACCGCGGGGAAGGAGGCATTCCGTCATTGCAACCACGACCCAAAAGGGAATTGCTCTGAGCACCGAATTGTGTTGCCATTTCCCTCTTCTGAAATTACAGCTTGTGTGTGTGTGTGTGTGTGTGTGTGTGTGTGTGAGAGAGAGATATCAGGGACTTGAGTGGTTGACAGTAGTGATCTTGGCGGGTAGGTTATCGTGCTGCTTCAACCACTGTTGTTGGTTATCGCTCCTGGAGACCTGGATAACATGCTCCTTCATCTACTTGTGTGTGTGTTATCGGTTCTGGTTATCTATTATGTTATCTTTTCCTGGTTATGGATGTGTGTGTTGGAAAAACTTGTCTCTGTCTGCCTCTCTCTTTCTGTCTCTGTCTGTCTGTCTGTCTGTCTGTCTGTCTGTCTGTCTCTCTCTCTCTCTCTCTCTCTCTCTCTCTCTCTCTCTCTCTCTCTCTCTCTCTCCGTCGTCTTGTGGTAGTTAATTCATACATCTTCATCTCACCTTTCATTCAGATTTCCTTAGCCTTCTCATCCGTGTAAACACTATCCCTTGCTTCCCTTGCTCTCCCTCCCCTCTCCCACGCCCTCTCCCACGCCTTCTCCCACGCCCCCTCCCAGCCTGATGTGTGGGAGGACTATTGATCAGCTGCTCCTTGGCGCCGTAGGGAGGTCTCGAACCTGAATTCTGAGACGCGACTCGCAAGAGAGACTTGTGAAGGCGGCCGCCTCTTACTGGGTCTTGGAGGCCTCCTACTGCTTCTTGGAGGCCTCCTACTGGGTCTTGGAGGCCTCCTACTGGGTCTTGGAGGCCTCCTACTGGGTCTTGGAGGCCTCCTACTGGGTCTTGGAGGCCTCTTACTGGGTCTTGGAGGCCTCCTACTGGGTCTTGGAGGCCTCATACTGGGTCTTGGAGGCCTCCTACTGGGTCTTGGAGGCCTCTTACTGGGTCTTGGAGGCCTCCTACTGGGTCTTGGAGGCCTCCTACTGGGTCTTGGAGGCCTCTTACTGGGTCTTAGAGGCCTCTTACTGGGTCTTGGAGGCCTCCTACTGGGTCTTGGAGGCCTCCTACTGGGTCTTGGAGGCCTCCTACTGGGTCTTGGAGGCCTCCTACTGGGTCTTGGAGGCCTCCTACTGGGTCTTGGAGGCCTCATACTGGGTCTTAGAGGCCTCCTACTGGGTCTTGGAGGCCTCCTACTGGGTCTTGGAGGCCTCCTACTGGGTCTTGGAGGCCTCCTACTGGGTCTTAGAGGCCTCTTACTGGGTCTTGGAGGCCTCTTACTGGGTCTTGGAGGCCTCCTACTGGGTCTTGGAGGCCTCCTACTGGGTCTTGGAGGCCTCCTACTGGGTCTTGGAGGCCTCCTACTGGGTCTTGGAGGCCTCCTACTGGGTCTTGGAGGCCTCCTACTGGGTCTTGGAGGCCTCCTACTGGGTCTTGGAGGCCTCCTACTGGGTCTTAGAGGCCTCTTACTGGGTCTTGGAGGCCTCTTACTGGGTCTTGGAGGCCTCTTACTGGGTCTTGGAGGCCTCCTACTGGGTCTTGGAGGCCTCCTACTGAGTCTTGGAGGCCTCATACTGGGTCTTGGAGGCCTCATACTGGGTCTTGGAGGCCTTATACTGGGTCTTGGAGGCCTCATACTGGGTCTTGGAGGCCTCATACTGGGTCTTGGAGGCCTCATACTGGGTCTTGGAGGCCTCATACTGGGTCTTGGAGGCCTCATACTGGTTCTTGGAGGCCTCATACTGGGTCTTGGAGGCCTCATACTGGGTCTTGGAGGCCTCATACTGGGTCTTGGAGGCCTCATACTGGGTCTTGGAGGCCTCATACTGGGTCTTGGAGGCCTCCTACTGGGTCTTGGAGGCCTCTTACTGGGTCTTGGAGGCCTCATACTGGGTCTTGGAGGCCTCCTACTGGGTCTTGGAGGCCTCTTACTGGGTCTTGGAGGCCTCATACTGGGTCTTGGAGGCCTCATACTGGGTCTTGGAGGCCTCATACTGGGTCTTAGAGGCCTCCTACTGGGTCTTGGAGGCCTCATACTGGGTCTTGGAGGCCTCCTACTGGGTCTTAAAGGCCTCATACTGGGTCTTGGAGGCCTCCTACTGGGTCTTGGAGGCCTCCTACTGGGTCTTGGAGGCCTCATACTGGGTCTTGGAGGCCTCCTACTGGGTCTTGGAGGCCTCATACTGGGTCTTGGAGGCCTCCTACTGGGTCTTGGAGGCCTCCTACTGGGTCTTGGAGGCCTCATACTGGGTCTTGGAGGCCTCCTACTGGGTCTTGGAGGCTGCTACTGTGCACTCCCAGCTTACTGAGTCCCAGGCTAGTACTGTGCACTCCCAGCTTACTAACGTCTCAGGCTGCTACTGTGCACTCTCAGCTTACTGACGTCCCTGGCTGCTACTGTGCACTCCCAGCTTACTGAGTCCCAGGCTAGTACTGTGCACTCCCAGCTTACTGACGTCTCAGGCTGCTACTGTGCACTCTCAGCTTACTGACGTCTCAGGCTGCTACTGTGCACTCCCAGCTTACTGAGTCCCAGGCTAGTACTGTGCACTCCCAGCTTACTGACGTCTCAGGCTGCTACTGTGCACGCCCAGCTTACTGATGGTATACACATCATGAAGTCTGTACATGTGGTCACGTCTGTAAACTGCTCGCTCAGCATAACAAACCATGGGTAACCTTCACCTGATTTCATCGGTTTACCTTCACTTAGACAGGATGAGTTTACCAACACTGTCTACAAGTCCTGTTTTTTGCCTTCAAGAATTTGTGTTCGTAAATTTGTACCATTAAATATGATGATGTAAAGGACGTACAATGGGATCGAACCTGCGTGCCTGTACCCCCACCATAGTATATGTGCCGACGTTCAACGCAATTAGGAAGTAGTAATCTGACCTACTGAATTTGGACAGATCAGAAAAATATTTTCTATTAATCTTGCAAACCCAAACTAACCTAACCTAACCTTCTTAGGCCTAATACACATTATCTGAGGCCTAATATAGTACATATAGGTGCTATACTAGGCCTAGGAATACTTAAGTTTGTTTTTTAGCTTAGTTTTTTTTCGGACTATAAAGTTAATAGTGCAAAATTCTACTATCTAGTTGCTTAGTACATCAACGTTTGTACTATGGTACACACAGTCACAAGAGGATGGGTTGCCACCACACAGGGACGCAGGTTCGAGCCTATCGAACATCACGCTCTTCCAATCTTACCGTGTTAACCTTACATGATATTAGCTGGCCAAAATAACCTGTAAGAACCTAAAAATCAGACTCAATGAGGACAGTGTTAACTACACTGAGGACTGTGTACTGTGCAGTGTTAAATACTGAGTCACTGTTCAGCCGTGATGGACGGTGTGGTTGGAGGGTGTTACGGCGAGCTTGGACCAGTAACCGGGTTCTTTGTTAACGTGTCTTATAACCTCTTCTTCTTGATCCTACCCCCAAGTTGGTAAGTTTTCAAGAACTGGCTGTGGCAAGTAGTAGTGCAAAGAATAAAGGGGGGATAAACAATACGTAATTATACCTTCACCAATATATTATCACCTTCACCGGTATATATATTTTATATCTGTAAGTATTACTACACATATTTACACTGTGTCACTTTCACTCAAGACACTCACTAGATCGGCAGTGTTCATCAAATCCCGGCAAGTCCCTTACGTCCAGGTACACGTCGTCCACACTCAATGGCAGTCACCGGCGAGTTCACCCTCACCATGGGCCAGTCCGCACACTGTATCGTCACGATGTGCCAATACCCAACATCCGCTCTCCAGAAACACACTGGCAGAGGGTTTCAGCAACACGCTGACAGGAGTCTCAAATAATCACGTACAGGGGTAGCTAACACCCTGGCAGAAGTCTCTAGCAACACACTAGCAACACTTCTCAACAGATGCAATACTGTCGTCTCGTAACAATTCTTGGCTAAATCCCGGGTCCGTTGGTCCGTACAACATTGCATAAACCAGCAGCTAACACACTGCTACTACCGACGGCGGCCACTTTGTCCTCTCACAGGACCAAGTCAAGAGTTCTGGACTGCCCAAGGTGAACTGCCCTCCTCAGTGCAATCACCTCCTCACGTCACCACTGTGAACATGTCATTAGCTAGACAGACAGTGTTCTGGGTGGCCTTATGATAACACCCTTCCACCGGGTAACTGAAATTATTATTGCTTGCACAACCTAGATGGCGTTGATATCGCAACCCCTCCCCCCCCCGCCAGAGATCATCATCGACCTAACCTTCTAACTGTAGTGTACCGCTGGTGACAGACTGTAGTGTTCCGCTGGTGACAGACTGTAGTGCACCGCTGGTGACAGACTGTAGTGCACCGCTGGAGACAGACTGTAGTGTACCGCTGGTGACAGACTGTAGTGCACCGCTGGTGACAGACTGTAGTGCACCGCTGGAGACAGACTGTAGTGTACCGCTGGTGACAGACTGTAGTGTACCGCTGGTGACAGACTGTAGTGTACCGCTGGTGACAGACTGTAGTGTACCGCTGGTGACAGACTGTAGTGTGCCGCTGGTGACAGACTGTAGTGTACCGCTGGTGACAGACTGTAGTGTACCGCTGGTGACAGACTGTAGTGTACCGCTGGTGACAGACTGTAGTGTACCGCTGGTGACAGACTGTAGTGTACCGCTGGTGACAGACTGTAGTGTACCGCTGGTGACAGACTGTAGTGTACCGCTGGTGACAGACTGTAGTGTACCGCTGGTGACAGACTGTAGTGTACCGCTGGTGACAGACTGTAGTGCACCGCTGGTGACAGACTGTAGTGCACCGCTGGTGACAGACTGTAGTGCACCGCTGGTGACAGACTGTAGTGCACCGCTGGTGACAGACTGTAGTGTACCGCTGGTGACAGACTGTAGTGTACCGCTGGTGACAGACTGTAGTGCACCACAGGTGACAGACTGTAGTGTACCGCTGGTGACAGACTGTAGTGCACCGCTGGTGACAGACTGTAGTGCACCACAGGTGACAGACTGTAGTGCACCACAGGTGACAGACTGTTGTGCACCACTGGTGACAGACTGTTGTGCACCACTGGTGACAGACTGTTGTGCACCACTGGTGACAGACTGTAGTGCACCACAGGTGACAGACTGTTGTGCACCACTGGTGACAGACTGTTGTGCACCACTGGTGACAGACTGTAGTGCACCACAGGTGACAGACTGTAGTGCACCGCTGGTGACAGACTGTTGTGCACCACTGGTGACAGACTGTTGTGCACCACTGGTGACAGACTGTTGTGCACCACTGGTGACAGACTGTAGTGCACCACAGGTGACAGACTGTAGTGCACCACTGGTGACAGACTGTTGTGCACCACTGGTGACAGACTGTTGTGCACCACTGGTGACAGACTGTAGTGCACCACTGGTGACAGACTGTAGTGCACCGCTGGTGACAGACTGTTGTGCACCACTGGTGACAGACTGTAGTGCACCGCTGGTGACAGACTGTTGTGCACCACTGGTGACAGACTGTTGTGCACCACTGGTGACAGACTGTAGTGCACCACTGGTGACAGACTGTAGTGCACCGCTGGTGACAGACTGTTGTGCACCACTGGTGACAGACTGTAGTGCACCACTGGTGACAGACTGTAGTGCACCACTGGTGACAGACTGTAGTGCACCGCTGGTGACAGACTGTTGTGCACCACTGGTGACAGACTGTAGTGCACCGCTGGTGACAGACTGTTGTGCACCACTGGTGACAGACTGTTGTGCACCACTGGTGACAGACTGTAGTGCACCGCTGGTGACAGACTGTTGTGCACCACTGGTGACAGACTGTTGTGCACCGCTGGTGACAGACTGTAGTGCACCGCTGGTGACAGACTGTTGTGCACCACTGGTGACAGACTGTAGTGCACCGCTGGTGACAGACTGTAGTGCACCGCTGGTGACAGACTGTTGTGCACCACTGGTGACAGACTGTAGTGCACCGCTGGTGACAGACTGTTGTGCACCACTGGTGACAGACTGTAGTGCACCACAGGTGACAGACTGTAGTGCACCACAGGTGACAGACTGTAGTGCACCACAGGTGACAGACTGTTGTGCACCACTGGTGACAGACTGTAGTGCACCACAGGTGACAGACTGTTGTGCACCACTGGTGACAGACTGTAGTGCACCACTGGTGACAGACTGTTGTGCACCACTGGTGACAGACTGTAGTGCACCACTGGTGACAGACTGTAGTGCACCGCTGGTGACAGACTGTAGTGCACCGCTGGTGACAGACTGTAGTGCACCGCTGGTGACAGACTGTTGTGCACCACTGGTGACAGACTGTAGTGCACCGCTGGTGACAGACTGTAGTGCACCGCTGGTGACAGACTGTTGTGCACCACTGGTGACAGACTGTAGTGCACCACTGGTGACAGACTGTAGTGTACCGCTGGTGACAGACTGTAGTGCACCACTGGTGACAGACTGTAGTGTACCGCTGGTGACAGACTGTAGTGCACCGCTGGTGACAGACTGTAGTGCACCGCTGGTGACAGACTGTAGTGCACCGCTGGTGACAGACTGTTGTGCACCACTGGTGACAGACTGTAGTGCACCGCTGGTGACAGACTGTAGTGCACCGCTGGTGACAGACTGTTGTGCACCACTGGTGACAGACTGTAGTGCACCACTGGTGACAGACTGTAGTGTACCGCTGGTGACAGACTGTAGTGCACCACTGGTGATAGAATGTAAAACTGTAAAACTAGGGAGATCGAAGTAACTGGAATTCTCTCATATGCAATATTCTCTTGGAGTATAGTAAATACTGTGAACTTAAAGAATACAGAAGGGAGAAATAGGTGTGGCATTGCTGGTTTAAAGGAACTCGATTCTTTATGAGATTTTGGAGGAAGCAAATGACAACATGGACTATACTGTGTTAGTTATTTTACTGAGGACAAGTGTTGATGGCTGTGAGTTACAGCCTCTCATCTCCGCCCTAAGTGACCTACAGAAATCCGAGATAAGAACACAAAACCAATAAAAAGGCATGCATAAATATCCTCCAGGAGACAGACTGAGAGCAAAGCTACTGTTAGTCGGAGACTTTAATCATGACCATATGAATTGGGAAGTTAGGAACCAGAGTGGAGGGAGATACGACCCAGAACAAGGCTCGTGGTACAGAGGAATTTCCTGATAACAAGATGTGTGGGAGGAAGGAAAGACAAGTGGAGAGTACTAGCCAGCGAAGGTAAACCTAACCTAACCTAACCAGCCAGCGAAGGTAAACCTGGTCGTCAGACTGAATGAGACGGACATTGGCATCACCCGCACGAAAATGTCTATGGAGGAGATTAACTGCTGTGTTGTGCTCTCTGAATTATAGCAATGGAAGCTACAGCGAGACCCAAGAGACGTCAAGCATCACCATACAGGAAGGTCAGAGAATTCTTGAAAAATAATAGCATGGGAAAGAGAGCTCACAGGAAAGTCGACACAACCAGTTATGTCGTAGTTGTCAGAGTAGTTAACAGGTGGGATGCATTAGGCAGTGATGTGGTGGAGGCTGACTCCATACACAGTTTCAAATGTAGATATGATAGAGCCCAGTAGGCTCAGGAACCTGTACACCAGTTGATTGACAGTTGAGAGGCAGGACCAAAGAGCCAAAGACACAGAAGGAAGATTTATTCCACGACTGAGACATAAAGGAACCAGTAAGACCATTATCCCATGGTTTGACAACCAGTGTTTTAAGGCAATAATGAGAAACAAGAAAGCAAATAATACAAAAAGCAGAGAACATGAGAAAATCACAGCACATAAAACAATGAGGAATAGATATATGGGAATTAGGAGAGCAGTGTAGAAACAATATCAGATTTATATAGCAATCAAAGATAAGGACCAGCCTAAATTGCTCCTTTACACATCAAACTAGGCAATCAACCCGCCCTAGATAGATGTTCCCCTCTGGCTTAGTGTTCCCCTTCTCTGGCTTAGCGTTCCACTGTTCTGGCTTAACGTTCCACTGTTCTGACTTAATGTTCCACTGTTCTGACTTAACGTTCCACTGTTCTGGCTTAACGTTCCACTGTTCTGACTTAACGTTCCACTGTTCTGGCTTAACGTTCCCCCTGTCTTGGCTGGGAGTTCCCGTGCCGTTATTAAACACAGTGGCGCCCCGGGCATCTCCAATGTCAACAAACGGGTGACGGGCGCGGGGCGTTCCATCGCCCGTGTCAACAAGCAGAGCGGCGCCCAGCACGCCGCCCCCCCCTCCTCCTCCGTCAACAGACAGAAGCATCGTCTGGTGCCTCTGTCTGTGGCGCCACCCCCCCCCCCTCTACCGAGTTGTGTGTCACCTTCTCCTGCTTGTATTGTCACCTTGTCCTGCTTGTACTGTCCTAGGACGCGAGTTCGAGTCTACCGCCCTGCTCCCAACATTCCCAGACACTCTGCCTTCTGCCACCACACACACAATAGGCTCATGAATCTGTACACCAGGTGATCGACAGCTGAGAGGCGGGACCAAAGAGCCGAAGCTCAACTTCCCCCCCCCCCGCGAGCACAGTTAGGTGAGTACAGGTGCTATGCAGGACCAGGTGCTCAGCTCATTATATATTCATTGTTTTCTAGCCACGTCAAGTGTGGTTGACGGGGGGGCGGCGCCCCTGGGACCTATGTTTCCGCCCGCCCCCCTTCAAGGCCTCCCACGACTACAATAAATATTATTTTGAGGGGGGGGGGGCAGTGTATTTTTTTTATTTTATTGTTCGTTGTTTCCACTCGCAGAATTATTTTTTTCGATAATAAAAATAAATGGAATTTTATATATCGTGTTAAAAAAAAATCCAGATATAGGTGGGAATTATATTTTCGTAATTGGCAGGTGTTGTACATGTTGCTCTGTTAGTATGTTAGTATGTTAATATGTTAGTATGTTAGTATGTTAGTATGTTAGTATGTTAGTATAATATGATGAGTGGGGCTGCCTAATACACTCCCCCTCGCCAAAATTATACTTTATTTTTCAAGTAAAAACAAAAAATTAAGAATGGAAAATCTATTTTATACAATATAACAACGTTGTAGTGAAGAAGGTGAATTAATGACCACAATATATGTATGTGTGTAAGTGTATTGAAACCCAATTTTGTGATACAACCTGCACTCTCTCACATGGTGTTGTGATCAATGGTCACAACACCTTGTTGTGAATGTGAATGAACATACAACAACACCATCATACAACACCTTGTGTTGTATGATGGGTTTAATCCAAACATTTGTTTTTTAATTCACACATATATTGGGTCCCCCTTCACCTACAAACAAACACTACTGCAGTAAGTTTCTCCAAAAGTTGTAGTGTAAAATACAATACATGAAAATACAGTATATTGTAAAATATACAGTTGTGTCACATACATGTAACGTTAGAGCTGAGTGAGATGAGTTAAGAGCTTAGTGGGATGAGTTAAGAGCTTAGTGGGATGAGTTAGAGTTTAGTGGGATACTTAATTTTGTCCAGACATTACTTAATGTTATCCAGACTTTGCTTAATTGGTTATCTTGTCGCTAACGAACCCCTGGCCAAAGATAACACCCCAAATATAGTGCACTTCCTCACCAGCCGGCGTACCCCGTGGCCAAAGATAACATGCCAGCAGCATGTAGGTCGCTATCATGATGCTGCTGCAGATAACAGCAGCATCATTCATCACGAGGTTGATGTCCTCGTTGGCTAGGCTGCGTGGCTTCGCACGCTCGTTATCACATGATATCACATGATATCACATGATTGAGGGGACTCTTTACCTCAGGTGAGGGTCTTTGGATATACTTTCACCCATAACACCCCCTCCCCTCCAGAGGGGGATTGGAGGCTGGGGGATGAGATTAGGCTTGCTGTTGGGTTTAGGCTTGCTGTTGGGATTAGGTTTGCTGTTGGGATTAGGCTGGTTGTTGGGATTAGGCTTGCTGTTGGGATTAGGCTGGCTGTTGGGATTAGCCTTGCTGGTGGGATTAGTCTTGCTTTGGGATTAGGCTGGCTGTTGGGATTAGGCTGGCTGTTGGGATTAGGCTGGCTGTAGGGATTAGGTTGGCTGTTGGGATTAGGCTTGCTGTTATGATTAGGCTTCCTGTTAGGAATAGGCTGGCTGTTGGGATTAGACTTGCTGTTGGGATTAGGCTTGCTGTTGGGATTAGACTTGCTGTTGGGATTAGGCTTGCTGTTGGGATTAGACTGGCTGTTGGGATTAGGTTAGCTGTTGGGATTAGGTTAGCTGTTGGGATTAGGTGATGATAACTCAGGTGTCGGGATGAGGAAGTCATCAGTCTGCCGGCCAGAAGCGTTTGGGCAGAAAAATAAAATCCCCTCAAAAGATCCAATCTTTCAGAATATGATCGGTAATTAATGACTAATTACCCGCAATTTGCTCTGTAAATATGAGACGATTTCCTGCCTGGATCCGCTGTGTTAGTTAATTATTCTTCTCTGGGTTATATAGTCATATATAAAGTCATATATAAAGTCATATATAAGGTCATATATAAGATCATATAGACGTGATGGTTACGTAACTAATGCGTCCCATTATTTACGGAATAGACCAATCATTTAAAAACTTGAAAAAAACGTAATATTCACGTTTTCTATACTTCAAGCTGGGTAGGTTGGGTGGGTTGTTTGGGTTCGCAAGTGTCTGCTTAGACAAAACGGTTGTATTTATAACGGATTGGCGAATCAAGAGAACGGGCTGAGGTATTAGGTGGTTGTGTTTGCTGCTTGTTCATCTGGTGGTGATTGGGAGGGTGTATACGGTGATTGGAAAGGTGAATATGATGATTTTGATTAGTTGATTTACCTCTTGATTAGTTGATTTACCCCTTGATTAGTTGATTTACCTCTTGAGTAGTTGATTTACCTCTTGATTAGTTGATCTACCCCTTGAGTAGTTGATTTACCTTTTGATTAGTTGATTTACCCCTTGATTAGTTGATTTACCCCTTGATTAGTTGATTTACCCCTTGAGTAGTTGACTTACGTCTTGATTAGTTGACTTACGTCTTGATTAGTTGACTTACGTCTTGATTAGTTGACTTACGTCTTGATCAGTTGATCTACACTTTGCTTACTCGTTTTGCCCTTGGTTTACACACTTCATTACCTCGCGGGGCTCCGGTTTAGACATCGTCGGTAACAATCAAGTTTCTGGCAGCTCACTGAACGCCGCCGACGCCTGCAATTGATATAATATTCATTGTAATTGAGGCTCGGGTGATTGTTACGGGGATTGTTGAGTGTGTGTGTGTGTGGGTGTGTGGGGGTGTGGGTGTGGGTGTGGGTGGGTGTGTGTGTGTGTGTGTGTGGGGTGTGGGTGTGTGTGTGTGTGGGTGTGTGGGGGTGTAGGTGTGGGGGTGTGGGTGTGGGTGTGTGGGGGTGTAGGTGTGGGGGTGTGGGTGTGTGTGTGTGTGGGGTGTGGGTGTGGGTGTGTGTGTGTGTGTGTGGGTGTGTGTGTGTGGGGTGTGGGTGTGTGTGGGTGTGTGGGGGTGTGGGTGTGGGTGTGGGTGGTGGGTGTGTGTGTGTGGGGGTGTGTGGGTGTGGGTGTGTGGGTGTGGGGTGTGGGTGTGGGTGTGTGTGTGTGTGTGGGTGTGGGTGTGTGTGTGTGGGTGTGGAACAGCTTGTTGCATGGTGAGGACGTCCAAACTGCCTGACGGGGGTCGTATCCCCCTTCTCTCCCGTGCTGGGGTGATTAAGGGGGGGGGGCCGTCAACGACACGGCTCTGGGGCTCGAACGAGGCTGCTTGGCACCCTCTACGACATGCTGTATAGTGTGGTTAGTGATATATATATATATATATATATATATATATATATATATATATATATATATATACCACCACTACGAATCATTTATGTATGATTGGAAAGGAGGATTGGCTTCAGAGTGACGTGGATTGTACCCAGTGGAAAGGTTTCTGGAGCACAATCGTTCCATAGACGAAGTTGTGAAACAATTCAATCTGGCTTTAGTAATTTAATGGTGCTTTGGTGGCCGGGAGAACAGTGATTGGCAGAGAGAGAATGGGAACAGGTTTCAGGGGGGGAGGGGGTAGGGGTCTATGGTAGGGGGTAGGGGGAGGGGGTAGGGGGGATGGGGCTATGGTAGGGGGGTAGGGGGAGGGGGTAGCCTCCCTCCCCCCCATCATAGACTTAGCATCTTGTTACTAAGGAAGAGTTTCATCCCGGGCACGTAGCTTGTCCCAGCATCGCGTCTCCAGTGTCCCAGCATCATGCTGAGGCAGCATCCCACCAGACGGGAGAGCATTAGTCCTAGAGCCCCGCGGGAGGACACCCATAACAGTTCTCTTGATCCCAGGAGGAACCATCAGGTCACCCTGAGTTGACCGTCGGGCTCTGTTTGGGGACACTATAGAGCCGTGTTGTAGAGACCTCACACTGCCTCTATTGGTGTTGAGGTCACTATAGAGCCGTGTTGTAGAGACCTCACACTGCCTCTAGTGGTGTTGAGGTCACTATAGAGCCGTGTTGTAGAAACCTCACACTACCTCTAGTGGTGTTGAGGTCACTATAGAGCCGTGTTGTAGAGACCTCACACTGCCTCTGGTGGTGTTGAGGTCACTATAGAGCCGTGTTGTAGAGACCTCACACTGCCTCTAGTGGTGTTGAGGTCACTATAGAGCCGTGTTGTAGAGACCTCACACTGCCTCTAGTGGTGTTGAGATCACTATAGAGCCGTGTTGTAGAGACCTCACACTGCCTCTAGTGGTGTTGAGATCACTATAGAGCCGTGTTGTAGAGACCTCACACTGCCTCTAGTGGTGTTGAGATCACTATAGAGCCGTGTTGTAGAGACCTCACACTGCCTCTAGTGGTGTTGAGGTCACTATAGAGCCGTGTTGTAGAGACCTCACACTGCCTCTAGTGGTGTTGAGATCACTATAGAGCCGTGTTGTAGAGACCTCACATTGCCTCTAGTGGTGTTGAGATCACTATAGAGCCGTGTTGTAGAGACCTCACACTGCCTCTAGTGGTGTTGAGGTCACTATAGAGCCGTGTTGTAGAGACCTCACACTGCCTCTAGTGGTGTTGAGGTCACTATAGAGCCGTGTTGTAGAGACCTCACGCTGCCTCTAGTGGTGTTGAGATCACTATAGAGCCGGGGTGTACAGTGTGGGGAAATTGTTCCAGGACTAAGGTGTATTGGAACAATCAGAGGAACTTCTGGGTACACAAACAATCAGGTAGATCTGTTTTGATCAGGAATCGAATCAGTAGCATGATGACGGGGGTTGGTACAAGGCCGTGGACCAATCAGAGGTGGTGGCGGTGCCTGGACACTCAGAGGGCAGCCTCTCAGTGGTCTGATGGGCGCTGCCACTCACATTACTCTCACGTGAGAGATTTTAATGTTCTCTTAATTGATATCTTAATTGATATGTTGTTGTTTATTTCTTGACGAGCGGTTTAGGTGATTGGCTGAGGGGGTAGTTTATTGTCCTCAACCACCACCTTCAACCAGCGACACTATGACCACCACTACCACTACTACCACTACTACCACTACCACCACATAGCGTGCATGGTTCAGTGATCGTGCTAACTTTACGAGTTTTTCAGGTGTGGGGCCACGCCCACCTGGCCAGGCTCCCCCCAACCCCCCATATCTGGCCCCACCACCCCCCTCCCTCCTTACTGACCCCTACTCCCCCTCCCCCTCCCCTCCACCCCTAGGGGCAAACTTTCTCCTCTACCACCCCTACCCCAGGGTCCTGGCTGGCCTGCCCCTATCCAAGGGTCCTGGCTGGCCAGCCCCTACCCCAGGGTCCTGGCTGGCCACCCCCTACCCCAGGGTCCTGGCTGGCCACCCCCTACCCCAGGGTCCTGGCTGGCCTCCCCCTACCCCAGGGTCCTGGCTGGCCACCCCCTACCCCAGGGTCCTGGCTGGCCTGCCCCTACCCCAGGGTCCTGGCTGGCCTGCCCCTACCCCAGGGTCCTGGCTGGCCACCCCCTACCCCAGGGTCCTGGCTGGCCCGCCCCTACCCCAGGGTCCTGGCTGGCCTGCCCCTACCCCAGGGTCCTGGCTGGCCAGCCCCTACCCCAGGGTCCTGGCTGGCCTGCCCCTACCCCAGGGTCCTGGCTGGCCTGCCCCTACCCCAGGGTCCTGGCTGGCCACCCCCTACCCCAGGGTCCTGGCTGGCCACCCCCTACCCCAGGGTCCTGGCTGGCCTGCCCCTACCCCAGGGTCCTGGCTGGCCAGCCCCTACCCCAGGGTCCTGGCTGGCCACCCCCTACCCCAGGGTCCTGGCTGGCCTGCCCCTACCCCAGGGTCCTGGCTGGCCTGCCCCCTACCCCAGGGTCCTGGCTGGCCTGCCCCCTACCCCAGGGTCCTGGCTGGCCTGCCCCTACCCCAGGGTCCTGGCTGGCCCGCCCCTACCCCAGGGTCCTGGCTGGCCTGCCCCCTACCCCCGGGTCCTGGCTGGCCTGCCCCTACCCCAGGGTCCTGGCTGGCCCGCCCCTACCCCAGGGTCCTGGCTGGCCTGCCCTCAGTCTCCTGGCTGGCCTGCCCCCTACCCCAGGGTCCTGGCTGGCCTGCCCCTACCTCAGGGTCCTGGCTGGCCTGCCCCTACCTCAGGGTCCTGGCTGGCCAGCCCCTACCCCAGGGTCCTGGCTGGCCACCCCCTACCCCAGGGTCCTGGCTGGCCTGCCCCTACCCCAGGGTCCTGGCTGGCCTGCCCCCTACCCCAGGGTCCTGGCTGGCCTGCCCCCTACCCCAGGGTCCTGGCTGGCCTGCCCCTACCCCAGGGTCCTGGCTGGCCCGCCCCTACCCCAGGGTCCTGGCTGGCCTGCCCCCTACCCCAGGGTCCTGGCTGGCCTGCCCCTACCCCAGGGTCCTGGCTGGCCCGCCCCTACCCCAGGGTCCTGGCTGGCCTGCCCCTACCCCATGGTCCTGGCTGGCCTGCCCCCCTACCCCAGGGTCCTGGCTGGCCTGCCCCTACCCCAGGGTCCTGGCTGGCCTGCCCCCTACCCCAGGGTCCTGGCTGGCCTGCCCCTACCCCAGGGTCCTGGCTGGCCTGCCCCTACCCCAGGGGAGGCTGGCCTGCTCCACACCTGCGAGAAGTAGTTATTATCCACATGTTTTACGACATGTCTCCCATCCAGGGAGCTGCCTGGCACTATTAGGGTCCTTAACTGCCTCAAGAAACACTTAACTATGGGGCAGTTACTCCCCCAGGAGTGCCTGGGGGCATACACTCAGGGTAATAATTAACTCTCACAGGAGTCCATAGGGGCAGTAACTCTCATAGGAGTCCATAGGGGCAGTAACTCTCACTTGAGTCCATAGGGGCAGTAACTCTCACAGGAGTCCATAGGGGCAGTAACTCTCACAGGAGTCCATAGGGGCAGTAACTCTCACAGGAGTCCATTGGGGCAGTAACTCTCACAGGAGTCCATAGGGGCAGTAACTCTCACAGGAGTCCATAGGGGCAGTAACTCTCACAGGAGTCCATAGGGGCAGTAACTCTCACAGGAGTCCATAGGGGCAGTAACTCTCACAGGAGTCCATAGGGGCAGTAACTCTCACAGGAGTCCATAGGGGCAGTAACTCTCACAGGAGTCCATAGGGGCAGTAACTCTCACAGGAGTCCATAGGGGCAGTAACTCTCACAGGAGTGAAAAGGTACATTGCCTATTTGTCTGTTATGATCTTAAGCGATTATTGAAAATTTATTTATTTAATTATTTATTTATTTGTTTATTTATATACAAGAAGGTACATTGGGTTTGTGAGAATACATAGCATGGTATTTACAATCTTGTAAAGCCACTAGTACGCGCAGCGTTTCGGGCAGGTCCTTAATCTAACAGATAATTTTAAGTAGGTAAATTCTATCAGAATTAATCAAATGATAACAGATACATTGCAAGAAAAAAATGAGATGAGAGAGATTAGTAAGTATATTAAAGCACATTGGTATATTAAAGCTCTGGTTGGTTACACTGACATCTTGATTGGTAATTTAAACAAGATTAATAGACACCATACAGCAGATTGATAGCACATATAAGAAGACAGCAATGATCACAATGGTAAAGATGTTCGGATTGGGTATATAAAGATTGGAAGATTGGGTAGCAATAGATACAGTGCAATTTTAAAGCAACAAG